ACGCTCTGTTATTATCTTTATACCCTTTTATTTTTTGCACAAGTTCGCCACGTTAAACGTTTGTTTATTCCTGGATATTTATTGTTTTTTGGTCACCACCCGTGACAATATCTTGACAATCCTCCCGTAGTCTTCAAAAGCTGAGGCCTCCCCTTCAGTCACGTAGTTAAGAAGCCAGTAGATCGTAATCCCGAGCTTCGTGACGTTCGGGTCGATCACGAGACATCTGTTGACTTTGATGATGAGTTTCTCACCAGCAACCAGCTTCTCTTTGCTCTCTCCCGAGTCCATCGTGCACAATAACACGTGATTATACTGGAAGGCGCCCAGCCCAACCACGTTCGCAACGCCGATGGCTTCCTCCAATGCGTCTGCAAAAACCTGAGTATTGTACAGCATACCTTTGATGGCTCCATAGAGGAAGATCGTCGTGGCCAGCCTTGGTCCACTTGGCAGCGCTGGCATGATGATCCGGTATTCAGTACTCCCGGAAGCTTGTCCTGCGGCCTGAGCGAAGGTACCCGCTCTGTACGGCGCTGCGTCCGAGGATGATGCGGTTTGTCGCTGGTAGCTGGCGTCAACTCAGCCGTGTCACACACTTGAACAACTGGGGAGGGGGGGGGGGGGGGGAGGGGGTTATATTTAGCGTTGGCGTTCTACTCTGCTGCAAAACCCACCGTATTCTTACTCCTTATCAGTACGGGTTTCGGAAAGGATGCTCGACTGAGTTAGCCTTGCTAAATCAAACTTAAATAATTCTAAATATTATTGAGAATAAGCTCCTTACACTAGGAATAATTCACGACTTATCGGTGGCTTTTTATCGTCTTAATCATCAAACGTTATTTCTTAAGCTACAGTAAGATGGCATCAGGGAAATAGCAAAAAAAAAAGAAAACATATTTGAGAACTACCTAGAGTTCCGTTTTTAAAGTGCCGTAATAGGAGGACACCATTTTCAGTCTAGAAAAGTAAATGCAAACATACCGCAGGGAAGTATCTTAGGACCCCTACTTTTTAATTTATATGTTAATGGCATTACCAACCTTGACTGCAAAGCAAGCATGATAATTTATGCTGATGACAACACTGTATTGTTTTCTGGGTCAAACAATTCCAAAGTTATAGAAACCGGCAATTGACTTTTAGAAAAACTTAATGTGTGGACGACTTTGAATTCGTTAGTAAGGAACAGTTATAAAACAAAGGCGATAGTTTTTAGGCCGAAGGGAGTACGGTTTTGCGATAATCAAATTTTCTTCCTAGGAACTTGTAGCATAAAAATTGTAGAAAAGGTTAAGTTTCTTGGCGTTATATATAATGAACACATGCGATGGGATGATGAGGTCGTCATGATTAGAAAAAAGCTATCTAAAGTTGTAGGCATAATTCATAAGTACAAAAAACATTACCGTCGTCTATACTACGACTTCTTTATAACCGTTTATTTTATGCTTGCTTCAATTCCTGCTTTCTGGTAAGGAACGGGGGGAGGGGGGGGGGGGGCACCGCTGTTACTAATGTCCATAGCCTAGCTGCATGTACTACAAAAGAAAGTAATTCGTTTTCTGTGCAAAGTCTGACAGCCGTACGGTGCCGCGATATGAAACATTTGGAATTGCTTAGATAACAAACTTTTTCAACTACAAACTTGCACTAGCATATAAAACAGCTCTATATAACGAATTCAGTAGTTTCATTTCACTCGCCTCTTTTCGCTTAAGAGTTATTTGCATTCTAATCGTCATGCCGATGTTTGGACGGTCCCGCGCTCCAGAACCAACTACATAGATCAGATGATTAGCCATCAGCTAACCAGAGCGATCAACTATTTTCTTTTCACGCGGTCTTTGCATTGAACGTGTTCCCTTTCAGCCCTGGTGTGTTATGGGACCCTACTAGACCTTCAAGACTTCAGACTCCACCACATCAAACGTTAGCCCTTCAGGCTTCAAGATTCCAAGACTTCAATACTTCAAGACTTCAAGACTTCATGACTCCAGACTTTAATACTTTAGACCCCAAACTTTACCCTTCAGTCTAACCCCTTAGTCAACATACCTTAGAAATGCAGCTTTCCAGAAAGCCACGACAAATCAAACTGTATGTAAAGCGTTTAGTCCAACCCGCGCGCTAGCAGCTGCCGACAAGTGATCAGACCAAATATATTTGGTCTGATTCCTTGTCTGTGACGAACTCTGATCACTTTTGCAACAAACAACTCGGTTGTCCCTATAGGGACAACCGAGTTGTTCGTCGCAAAAGAATATATTTCGAGGTACTCACAATGCCGCTGGGTAAATTCCTGAGACACAAGGCAGTTCGACTGATAAAACCGAACAGATGCACCGCTCGGAGTGGAACTCAACGCCGACCTCGAGGGCCCGAATCACGAATAGCGCTTCAAGGGATAGGCGCGATGCTAGACGAACGAGTTCCTCGTCTACGACGTACGCACCGTAACAGCCGCCGCAAGGTTTTGACGGCTTCGTAGCACGAGCATTGGAGCGCTTTTCCTCTGCACGCTCGGTGACAGCCGCGCATGCAGAGGAAAGGGGCTCCAGAAAGGCGCTGGTAATCCTGAGCGACTCGAAGGTGGGACTGACCCAACTCGCAAATCTGGAGCGTGCACCACCGCTCACAGGAGAGTTGGCGAATGCGGCGGTCATGTTGCAGCGCCAAGAATGAACAAATGCCTTCCAGTGGCTGCCGGCCCACTGCAGCATTCGAGGGTATGAGAAGGCGGATCGCTTGGCGGCTTCGGCTCAGGGCGACGACTCTTGTCCAACGTCCAGCTGGGCTGCGTTCTTGGACAGTAGGGCCATCCGTGTGCACCACCCAGATATCCAAAACAACCCCATGCCGCCCAGACCCCCGAAGAACCTGCCGAGGGAAGTCGCCGCAGGAATGCACAGACTTCATTCGCACAAGCAGCGCCTTCACGCGAGCCCACCGAGCGTCAACAGATAACAGGAACAAAAACTTTCCTGCCGACATACGACCGTTGCCACTGGCAGCAAATTGACCAATACGGACGCGGGGACGTCACGGCGGCTCTAATTTAAACGAAAATAATCCCGGGAGAAGGGGGACAGAGGACAAACACAAATCTCTAAATACAGCTAGATGACTGGTGCGCCACCCAAAAAATCCGCCTGGTCGGGTATCGATCCCGGGACACCTCCATTTCCAGTGGAGGGCTCTACCAACTGAGCTAACCAGAGTTTAGGTGACCGTAGAGCAAACAGTTTTTATCAGCTGCCACCAGTCTAACACCAACAAGGGTTGAAGGCTTGCATTTTAAGGTTATGTTTATCATGCAACTAATTGCACAGGTGCAAGCGAGCTGCACAAGAATGACGAGGCGCCCCTCCCAGTCGCGCGCTGGTAAAACCTGAATACTTTGCTTACGGAGCACGGCACATTCCGGATGCCATGATTTCCGTGGTCACAAACCCCCTCTCCCAAAAATAAAAAGAGATCTTCATAGTGCGTTGTTTTTTCTATAACGTGCTGCGAATGCGCTTTCTGGGTGTTCGTGGTCAATTGGGCAGAATAAACTAGTTTAAAGTTGCGGCTGTCCGTGTCTACTCCCTTGTGATTGTCCCTTGTGTCGCGCAAAAACCTCTAGACTGCGGGGATGCAGCCGGGCCCGGATTCGCTTCGGCAGCCCAAAGACGCGTTTGGAAGCCGCGATCTTATGGCGGCAAGTTCTCAATGCATGGCATTTTTAACACTCCTTTTCTGGAGCAACAATAACGGGCTAGTGAGCCTTGAATTTGAAAAATATTGAAACGCGCTGTATACATGCAGACGGTGCCAGAAAATGTAAGTAAAAATAACCAATACGTATTAATCCGTCTGCTGTCCGTCGAATATGTCACACATTTCCGACCGGCCTGGCTTACTTAGTTGTTGGACGGGCGGCTGGGCCGCTGGGTGGCCAACTCGCGCCATTGAATTCGTAAGGCGAGATCGTTCGATAAAGCTAGCTTGATAGACTTCTACCTCTTCTCAATGGGCGGCAATATCCGGGTGTCGTTTGCACTCAATGAGTCTCGATCAAAGCAATATTCGCTTGCAACTCCGTCTACACAATGAGCCAAAATTAAGAGTGACACAGCAGGTTTACGCACTCGCGTCAACGAAGCGGGCTATCAATGAACACAACACGTTTACGCACTATCGTCTTTGGATGAATACCTTCGAGGTCCTCCCGATAATGTCTGGAGGGTTTCACAGACCCTTTAGAACGGCCCTGAAAGGCCACGCATTTTTTTAGAACGACCTTGAAGGAACGCACACCCCTCTAAAAGATATCTTGATCGGACCCACAGACCTACTCCAGGTGGGCCCATCAGACATTTCAGAATATCCTAAAGGACCTCTCAGGCTCTCACAGGAAATCCTACTGGGCCTCACAGACATTTTTTTTTTTTTGCATAGGGCTGTATTATCGCCACTTGTTTCGTTACTTGAAACTAAGCGAGTTTATTATGTGTACAAAATATGTTTTACCTTTGGTATTTCAAAAGAGTGCTGCTTCCGCTGTTGCTGTAGGGGAGGAGGGGGCTTTGTCAAGCAGTTTTTAAACCGTTTCTTCCCATTTTCCCTCTCTTCTCGTACGAAGAGGAACACATGAACAGGAAACTTTAAAAAAAACGCAGCTTAAGCATACATAGCCTGATATGTATGCTTTCTGTTACAATGACCTGCGCGTGACTGCTTAGAATGCTTACAATGACCTGCGCGTGACTGCGTTGGGCTTGACAGTGAAGATTTTCGCGTGAAATCTGGGCTAAAAAGAATGAGCCCATTGATTTTTAATCCTGAACAGAGAATTGATATAGTCTTTATCAAACATTCGCTTGTTTGCATGAACTAAGTAAAACTCTAAATGACTAAATCTAGAAAACAGCTAAAATTGAACACAGGGGCATAAATCTTGGTGCTCTTTTTATTAATTTGCTAATATTTTTTTCCCAAAATTGCTTTGGTCTTTAGAAGGTGTTGTTGTAGAACTGATAAAACTTTCTTACACAATCTTTACGAGCCTCCTCGGTTGCACACGTCGCGTTTTTGTCAAACTGGCTTGAAGAAGACAATGCAGGCGAAATAAGGGATTGCACGAAGTGCGAAACCTTTACGAAAAGCAAAGGTCGCTCCGGTTGAAGGCAGTCGTCTGGCCCGTCGGATATAACGCCACCAAGAAACCATTGTCCTTTATCTTCGTACATCAAAGGTCCTCCGCTGTCTCCCTGGTAAAACCATTCATTAACAGTCTTAAAAGATATCATATTAATATTCAAAATGAGAGCTCAAAGCGCATGGAAAATATACATATATATTTTATTTAACCTCATATTGACGCAAAGTGCATGTTCCATCAATTTACAAAACCTGCGCAAAAACAAGAAAAAGCAAGCTGTCTTTCCCATTCTAGAACTATAAATATTATCATTTGAGAATTCATTAAGGTGGCGATGCAGGCGAGTTGGTTCATGACTAAATCTAGAAAACAGCGGGACAAACACAAATACGAGTGGAAGAAGTAGGCGGGCCAATATACACTTTTCACATAGTCGTGTGTAAAAGTGTATATCGGTCGGACCGTGAGGTGTATCAGTGAAAGAAGGAGAGAGCATAATTTGCTTTGAAATCATCTTCAGGGGTACTGACCTTTACGCGTGGCAGATTGTCGCTGCCGCCCTACCTTTAACGACATTCAGATCTTTGACAGGACTAATAATAGGACTGTTTGCGATTTGCTTGAGGCCTTTGAAATAATCAATCAAGGTACAGGTAGCTGCATCAGCCAGACCTCTGTTTATCTGCTCTCAAAAGAAATCCAGTCTCGTAGTTTTCTTTGAATTATGTTTATACCCTTTGTCTTTTAGCTTGCTTTTATTTTTTTTATAGGTTTTTATCTTGTTCTCAAGTGCTTGGTTTTATAACTTTTGATGGTGTTTGCTGTGGCTGTTTTTATGTGTTTCTTCTATAAATTTTTAGATGTCAGTCAGCACTGGTCCCGTCCACTTCTTTCACTCGTATTTTTGTTTGTTGCGCTGTTTTCGAGATTTTTAATATTCACTACTGTCGAAAGTAATGTGTAAAAGAATATTACTTTTTTTTCAATTGACACAACTGCACCATCAGTTAGGAGCTGCTCCCCTTCGCTCCATTTAATTTGCTGATATTTTCCAGCTTGTATACACATTAATCAATACCTTAAAGGGAAGCTACGGAGCTTTTTGGAAAAAATGAGTTAGAAGTGAATTCTAGTGTATTTTTACCCCGTGAACCCGAATACCCAAACCATTTGCTGCGTAAGTATTGTTAAACGCGAGAAAAACGCGAAAGACAGTCGCTGTCCGTGACGTCATCGACGGATCTTTTGGCTGCCCTAGGCTAGAGAGGCGGGGCTTAAGCCCTATTTTGAAATTGCTCTTGTGGCTCTCCGGCGTGTCGCATTGAAATATTATTTTGATATCTGTTAATCTAAAGGCCAAATGAACGCAATTCAAGCGTTTTTTTCTCAAATGTAGAAGTGCCCCATCTTCCCTTTAAATTAAACCTTGCACATTTTGAATCATGTCGAAATCAACGCATTTGTATTATGGACTATTCGTGTGTCGTACAAATACACAAATATTTGGCCGATACTTTTATGTCACTAATACTGTTTTCATAACCTCAAAAAATAATCCACAAAATGTTTCCCCTTTTTGCTGTGCAGCATGTCACTGAATGAATGTCGTTTTCGCATGCGACACGCAAACATACAAAACTCCTGATTTTTAAACGAAGACACATTACGCTCATCTTTGCCGTAAGTGCAGGCGAAAGTGGAGGTAATGTGTGCAAAGAGATGAAAGGGGACGGAGGAGTTTTATCACTGTTTTATACCAATAGCGTAAGGTCACAGGCCGAAAACAGGGTTTCAAAACCATGAAACAGTTAAAGTTGTGAATGCTCAACAATACAAACTGTTACAAAAGCATACCAATACAAGTGCACAACTGAACTGCTACAACAATCCACCCTCGGTGGGAAGCGGTTGCGAAAAATTAAAAATATTTTTATTTCAATTCTTTTTCAGCTATTTAGGAGTACTCAGTTCTGACGATCACAATGCTGACGTAGACCCGGAATCACCGCAGTGTCCTGGACGCAGTTACCATAAAAAATCTGAAAATTTCACTTCTAATATTACATACAGTCAGGACACTTGGTCTTGTATAGCTCGATGAGAAAAAAACAGCGTCGTGTTTCTGTGTTCCTTCTTCTAGTCCTCCGTATTTTCACGTTGTTTTCACACCCAAGCTTCTACTTTTCCACATACAATTTGCGCGAGTCAATCGCTCTATCTACGAAGGAAGCTGGGAAGCTGTCGAGGCTGATAATATATTTACACCTAAAAAAGAGTCCGCGCTATGACTCATCTTTATGATTTAATATGCTCAGTGTAAGAGAGTAGACTGTTTTGTCTAGGTGCTAACATTTAATTAGCTCAATAATTCACCGAGTTCGTTTCAAATACTCCAATGATTCACTTGCCCAAGTGTTCGGCGGAAAGGTACACATGCCAGATTTCTTATTGTATTAATGCCTAACGGAAATTTAGGTCGTGTTTAGCGTGCAGAGCATCGGTGACAGTAATAGGAAAACTCTATCCAGACCTGTAGCACAGAACGTGCACAGTGAATGGCGGACCCATGCGAATGACTATGACAGATACTGGCGTAATCAATACTTTGGAACAAATGAAAGGACAAAACATTGAGGACAGAAAGGAAGCAGGACCTGTTTTGTCTAGTATGAACATAGAATGACACAAAATAGAGAACCGCCTCCAAAGTTTTCAACGTTATCCTAGAAGGACGGGAGAGAATCATTAAAGGAAAGGGAACTTTCCTTTAACATTTTTTTCGTTTTCTTCTTCGTCCAGTTACCGTCCCCCTTTCCCAATGTTTTATCCTTTCATGAATTAGTATCTATTGAACAGCACACTCGTTTTTTATTATTTTGTACGTTCTTCATGCACAGCGTACAATGTTGCTGGCAGGAGTGGGTAGTTTGATCTAGCGTCTCATTCACTCGAGAGCACATGCAGCCGAAATTCGCTATTCAGCTACACGTGTTTGGTCGCTCCCTGTTCACTTGTTTTATAACACTAATTTATTTTCTTCATGTTTTTCCTGCTACTGCTAGCGCCTGAAGAAAACAAATGCTCCTGTGACAAGTTCTGAAGATCAAAATTTATTTTAAGTAGTATCATGCGAAAGTGGTGAAATATTTCAATATTTTATAAAGACAACACACCTTTTTTTTCAAATAACGCAACTCCCTTCTAATTCGCCGAGCATCAACAAGCACCAAAATGTAGCGAGAGCAAAGTAAAATGAAAGGGGAGAGTGGTAAATAGAAAATGCACGGAGACAATATACATTGGACTTAGCTTGTTTCATACGGAGGGAAGAAATACATCCGGATAACCTACTAATCCCATCTTAAAACATTTTGCTTCAAAATTCCAATATGTGTTTAATGGTACATGACATTTTTAGAGCTAAAGTATAAGAGATAAACAAAGAAGTATTTATTTATTTATTTACACATTTATTTATTTATTTTAGTGCTTTCAGAACCCAAGGGACATTACAAAGGTGGATAACATAAAAACGCACACTCGTGACGTTCGTGCAAATGGCAAAACCTTACAACACAAGTTTGTGCCGTTTGCGCAAAAAACAAACACGATTAACGCAAACCTTGATGTGAAATATAATTATAGCTTAAAACTTTAAATCAGTTGCGGGGAACCCTTGTAGCACTTGACTTTCACTTTTGGTATGGTGCCTGGAGCACGTCTCCGACTGGTGATTTTAGGGTCGTATCAAGCCCATACATCAAAAGTGGTTCCAAAGTGGCAACAAATGACGTCACAGAAGCCGGAGTGTCATGCTGTAGGATGTAACGGTCCTGGTGGTTGGTCGTAGAAATGCCCAAGCAGCACAGAGTTGGCCAGTCATCAGCCAATGGCTGGCAATGGTCCTTGGCCAAGTGGCGAGACAGTGGCCAGAGACTGGCCGGTGACTGGCCTTTATCTGGCCATTGGCCAATGACCACTGGCCATCAGCCATCGGCCAAGCATTGGCCAATGAACGGCCACTCTTTGGCCACTGGCCAAAAGACCATCGCCAGACATTGGCCATTGCTTGGCCAAAATCCGTGCTGCTTGGGTGATTACACAAAGCACGAGCGTACGTGGATGTCGCTGTCGTCGTGACGTCCCAGCTCGTGGCTGCTGAAGTTTCCGTGGACTGCCAAGCTGGAGAGTGTCCTGCAGATGAACAAGGCGTCTACCACATTCACCACAGGTACTGGGATACCGCCAGGATCGCGACTGGCGACAGGATGAGACTTCTGTGACGTCATCAGGCGGAAGTTGAGGGACAACTTTTTCGGACGCGGTAAACAGACCAGGTGGAGACCCGTTCCAGGCACCATACTTTCGGGAGAGAGAAATTTGCTTTCTGTGAACCTGGGGTAACATTTTTGTATGAATGTTCCATGGATTTGTGGCGAGTTTTGGAGTTTCCTCAGAATAATTCAGCATTCTTTTTGACTATATATCTTCACACAGCTAATAACCCTCGCCGCAAATCAATTCCAAGACGTGCGGTTACTAACATCTGCCTTCAGGGAGTTTTACTTAAAAAAGAATTCGCGAGGAAAGTTTAAATAAGATCGTAACTAAGACTCAAAATTAACTCTTGGGCTAGTTGGCTGTACATTGTAAAAAGTCAAAAGTGTGAACACCAAGGATTTATCTTTTGTAAGTACAACATGACTATTTAGTATAACATGACATTTACTATTTAGATTAATTATACCTATATTACGTTATGTAATGTACTGCGTGTTTAAATATTAAAGGCGTGTTTTTTTTGCACAAAAAGGAAGTGCACATCGGCGAAGACTTATTCACTTTGCTCAAACCTAGCTCAAGTGGACGGAACCGGACGCCAAAGTTTCAGAGCTAAACGTCCTCTTATTCAAAAGTTACGGGATTTTTTTTTTCTTTTACTTTTGAATTTCAAAATGGTGGCGGACAAAGCCCTTGAATACATGAAGCTGAATAACAAGAATTACCCAGAATGGACCCCATTTGCAATTGAAAACTCCAGAAAATTACCCTTACCTTTTGATGCCGATGACGATAAGTCCCGGAACTTTGGCATCCGATCCCGACCGCTAGCGCTACCTTTGCGAGGAGGATGAATGTTCAGTGAAGCGCAGTTAATTTTCGATTAAACAAAATTGTTTCAATTTTTATTTAGAATTGATATTGTGGCAGAAAATTTCTACCTTTTTGAAAACTTACACTAGAACCTGAGTATTCTTCCTTTTTTTTGCTACAGGATGAGTTTACGAACTTAAAAATAGGTGAACGTACAGAACAGGTGAAGTACAAAACGAGCGTGATGGTAGCAGTAACTGATCATGAGAAAGATACATATAAGGTGGGGACGGACAACTTTCTTTCCCATGTTCAATTCAAAAACAGACTGACCAAAACAGATTACTGTCGTCTCTGCTTACATGGCACGCTCCACCGTTTGAGCAAACGATATAGCCAGGAACTTTCCTTCCCATTTGCTTTGTGCATTCATCCTGATCAATGAGATCGATTTCTCGTTGCATTAACCGGTTTGTGCTGTCTAATATGAGAACTCCTTTTCGGACAGCCTGTGAACTGCTGCTTGATAGTTTAGTTGATTGGTCGTTCATGGCTCGGTCAAAATCAGCTTCCTTCATGCTTTCTCTGGCACCATTATCATATTCATTATAATCATCATCGAATTCGTAATAATCTGAAAATAAAGGAACATAGACGATATAACGCAGGAGGTGTCGATTAGACGTTTTTCATGTCCTGTAAAGCTCTAAGGTATACATGTTGTTGTCCAAGAAAAAGGAGCCGTGTGTCTCACAGAACAAAAATAAAGTACGGATTCAGTAGAAGGATGGGAGGCCGAGTTGGCTAACACACACCAACTCGAAGTACGTGGAGCGAAAGCCCGCGCTGCAGAACCCAGGATCCTGCATTCAATCCCTACCCCTGTCCGTTTCGATCTGGATGAGCATCATACCGGCGTGCGGTCATGTATTACTATTGCGTGATGCACGTTAAAGACCCCAGGTTAGTGGTTCTACTGCACTGGCTAAATTACTCATTTACAGCTTGGAGACTCGTCGCCCGTTGGGGCAGATTAAGTTCTAGGCTGTATGAACACACACACAACCCAATTTGTTTTTTACAAATTAAAGTAAGCTCAGTTTGTATTCGAATATACAGGGTGTTTTTTTTAGTTGCACCGAATTAAAAAAAAAAGGAACGTGAGATAGAGTAATTAAGCCCTGGGGAAATGTTAATGGCCATGGCGGCCTCTAGCAAAAAGGTGAAATTAGGTAAGTAGTTAGCTAATTAACTAAAATGTTTTAACTAACTTCTTAATTTTTTACTTGAGGGCACATGGTGTAGTTAGAGAATTGAAGCTCAAAATGGTGTAACCCTGCCATCAAAGTTTGGTTAAAAAATTTGTAGTAGGTGTTACGAGGTCAAGAAATGTCACTTTAGTACAGGGCGTCAAACCGAAACTAAACAAGAAAGAGCGCCGCTAAAGTAATCGCTCCGCCCTTCCGGCATCCGTGGATCGTCGTTATCGCAGCCAGCTTCGCCTAAGCAAGTGGAGCCGGCCGCCACAATAACAAATCGCATGCCCGAAAAGGGGGAGCAAAAACTTTACCGGCGCTCTTTCTTGCTTAGTTTCGGTTTGACGCCGTGTACCAAAGTGAAATTTATTGACCCCGTAGCACCTACTAGACATTTTTAATCAAACTTTGATGGCAGGGCTAGACCATATTGAGGTCGAGCTTCAATTCTCTGAAAACATGATGTGCTCTCAAGTGAAAAATTAAAAGAAGGTAGTTAAAACATTTCAGTTAATGAGCTAACTAATTACCTAGTTTCACCTTTTTTCTCGAGGCCGTCACGGCCATTAGCACTTCCCCAGGGCTTAAATTACTCTATCTCGCGTTGCCTTTTTTTGACAATTTGGTGCAGCTAAAATAAACACCCTGTAGAGGTGGGGTTAAGACGCTAATGTTTTATACCTTAGTTACACTAGCGCTCTCAACTGTCATTAAGCTAACGATCGGTGGCATGTCCCAACTCTTATCGAGTTCTACAGAGTTACTTGGTACGTAGGCCTAGGGGCGCAGTTGAGATACGCGCCAAGGAATGCACTTTAAACCGAGCCGAAATCAAATCTTGTCACGTGACTTTTTTACAATGATGCAAATGAATTATATGCACACTTTTCATACATTATAAGCGTTTATAACTAAACAAAATTAAGTTCTTTTTGATTTTTAGAGTAAAGAAATGATAAGAAAAGCGTTTCACGCCAATTACAGCCAGAAACACACAGCGGAAGTCTTATCGGCACTGGCATCACAACGGCCGCCCTCACCGAGCTTGGGCTTCTGCGGCTTGCCGTGATCATTCTAGCGGCAGCTCCAGCCCCGAATCATACCTCTTGCAACAACAGTGCCTTCTACAAACCTTTCTAGAGATCTCCCCCTACCTTCTGCAATTCTTAGTTCTTCGCTGGTGCTGGTCATAGGCGGTGATGCTGCGGATGCCGTCATCTTTAACTCAGTGGGGCGAACCACCTCAGTTAACCTAGGTAGGCCAGCTCAGAACTCAGTTATTGTTATAGGCTCAATGACTGATGGCGCCGCAGTGTAACTCTGCCCTATCACATTTGAGCCCACTGTCGTTGGCCTAATGACAGCTTAGAGCGCCAGTGTAACTAGGGTATCAAAGGTTGACGATATCCAACTAAAATTTCTGGCGATATTCTAATATTTTTCATAAAAGGATGGGGGTTAGCAGAGCCCTCATTGAGAGAAAATAAGAAAATAGCCTGTGTGCTCTGCCAGAATGGACGCCCGTAGTTTAAGCTTTTGGAAAATTGTCCTATATGTTATATAAACTATCATGTTAAAAAAAACATTTGCAACGTATTTAAACTGCTAACACAACATCGGGTTGAATGTTTCTCGTAAAATATATAAATGCCACTGTTTTTTTTCCTCGTCCGTAACCTGCATATTGTGCGACGCATGCTAAGCAGGAATAAGAATAAAAAAATCGATATGATTTAAATGACAATTTTATTAAACAGGCGACCTGGTTAATGTTACACATACATCTAAAGCGGAGGCGATCGGGCGACAAGAGACAAACGCCCGCTTGAGATGTGTGTGCTTGTCCCCTTGTGCTCAGTTCGCCTCCGGTTTAGAACCATACGATTTAAATTGTCATATAAATCGTGACTTAACTCGGACTTGTTTTCTTATGATAATATAAATAAATCATTTCCCGAAACCATGCTCAGAAAACTATTTTATTCGCCATTTATCTATAATTTGATGCTTTGTTACTGCGTGCATTTGTTTACACTTAAATCAGATATTCTTCTGGGAGGCTGAACATCAGCAGACATCACTGCCCTTCTGGGCACTTGTAGTGTTTAGCCTACATTGCGTTCGTCAGTTACGAAAAGCAGAATGCAAAAAAAAGAGAAAAGAAAAAAAAAACAAGAAAACTGGAAACAATGGTTGTTTTCTTTAATATGGCAGGTTCACATCAAAAATGTTTTAATTAACCTACTTTAAATCTGCAAAAACTATTTCTTGTACATTATTTTCGGTGATTAGACAGATAGGTCAATTAGTCAGTCATGCTTAAAATATTACTTATATATACAGTCATTTCAATTACATTAATTTAACTAAATGAAATAAATCTGTTCAAAATCAATTCAATTTTATTCAAACTAAGTATATAATATTTAAATGTAATAAATCTCATATATTTAAACTTTTGCTTTCAAATAATGATTATTTTCTACTTTGATGCTAAGTGATGTCAGCAAGAGATGTTGCACGACAAAATTACATGTTTATGCGCCGAATGCCTTAGTTTTGCATTTTGATTCGTTCGTGCCGTTCGGTCCTACCTAGGACTCTTACAGTCAAAGTGTTCTTCGAGTATTATATATATATATATATATATATATATATATATATATATATATATATATATATATATATATTGCACTGTTGTAGCGCCGCTCAAATTGTGGAACCCGGTAATCTCAATATTAAAAGTGCCTGAAGTTATGGTATTTGTTCACGGGCCAATACATGCATGTATACGACCGATCACATGTTCACACAAGCCTTTTATGCTATGATATGATATACACGTCGTAACATCAGATAGCACGTAAACTGACGATAAAAATCTAAAAGGGTAGCCCAGCTGCTAAAGATTCGATTGTGGTTTAACAGAAGCACATGTGAAGAAACTCAATTTTCGATGTTTATTGTTCCCAATAAACATCGTAATCTTCTGTTTGGTTTTGTCAAAACATGGCGTACGGCTCGTTCCTCGTGGCGGAGTTCTAACATTTTGGTGCCTAAAACCCGGGATGACAACGGTATAGTCCCGACGGAATGACGACGGGGCATCCACCCGCAACCAAACGAGTCAAGGGACGCCGCGAGAGAACGAGCCCCAACGACGCTACCGACGTTATCACTCAACGAGGCCTAGTGACGTCGCAACAAAACGCGCCAAAGGAAGCCGCAAGAGAACAAGCTTCAACGACGCTACCGACGTTATCACTCAACGAGCCGAGGGACGCCGCAAGAGAGCGGGCTCCAGCGACGCTACCGACATTATCACTCAACGAGGCCTTGTGACGCCGCAACAAAACGAGCCAAGGGACGCCGCAAGAAAGCGAGCTCCAACGACACTACCGCCGTCATCGCTCAACGAGGCCCAGTGACGCCGCAACGCCAGCAAGGCCGCTAGACCCACAGACGCCATAGGACGACTAAAGCAGAAGCGGACGGCTCTGAGGTCTCAAGTAACGAGACTGATCTCCGACATCTACACAGCTATCGCAAGCCACTCCGACGAGCGAAGCCTCAACGTATTATCGGTGAGGCTCAGTGGGTTGCGAATAGAGCTGAGCAAAGTGAGCGCATCCATCGAACCACTGGTACCTGACCGAGACGTTGAGCAAAACTACGCCCGCACGATTGAATATGACGACAAGATCGTCACGTACATCGCCGCCATCACACAGGGGGTAGAGGAACTCCGACGAGCTAGGCCCGAAGCCGGTACAACGCGGATTTACAACGACGGCGACGGACACGTTGCAACTTCAAAGATGAAGCTGCCGAAACTGGAGCTTCAACGGTTTGGCGGTGCAGCTACCGATTGACAACCCTTCTGGGAACAGTACAAGCAAGCCATACATGACAACGACAGCCTTTCTAACGCTGAAAAGTTCTTGTACCTGCGGTCGGCGCTTACGGGAAAGGCAGCATCAGCGATAGCCGGCATTCAAGCAACGGGAGTATACTACGATACCGTCGTTGAGTTTCTCAGGAAGCGCTTCTGTCGGACTGACGTTCTCATTCAAGAACACCTCTCCCAACAACTTGATTTGCCAGCAGTACGACACTCGAGCGAGGTGAGCGGACTGCGACGTCTCAATGACCACTTGCAGCGTAATAGGCCGCTCTCACCGCGCTCGGAGTTAAGAGCGACACCTACGAAGCTTTGCTCTGCTATGCACTACTGAGAATGCTGACAGAAGAGTTAGTAATTGAATACCACAAGTGTCGACGTCCTACGGACAAGGAAAACGACGGTGTCAAGATAGAGAGCCTACAACGCTTCCTGAAGCTCGAAGTGGATAGCTGTGAAAAGGCTCAACAAGTTCGT